GTGTACATGCGTTGACTGAGATTCTGTTTGGCCGTCACATGTGGTGTGACCCAACTTCCAAGTTTTTGAAGCTTTCTCACTTGATCCAAACGCTCGGCAATAGCTCTTTGAACGATGCCTAACTGGCCTACGAGCTCTTGTTGCGTTTACGTTGAGTCTTCATCCATTAGAGCTAGCATTCGCACTTCTTCAAATGTTTCTACCAATAATTGCGCATTTGATGAGACACAACGTCTACACCAAGAAAACCACAAACTGATTCCCCCTATGCTTTAGAAACACTTTTTCCCTGTTGTAATTGGTATAAATGCAGTGCCATCAAACGTGCTGTTTATCAGTTGCCATTGCAAACTGTGCTATTCTGGGAGGTTATGTAACTCACGTAGACTTGTCGTTCGGGGTTCTGCAACCTTGCGTACGATTTTTTCAAAGCCACGAGAGACCTTGACATATTTTAATTTTAAGTACAATTCTAAGCTCGAGGAATAAGTCTGTACAAATTAATTCATAAACCCAATAGTTTTATGGATAATGTTATTTCCCAATTGACTGAAATTGAATTAGCTCTAATACATTTGCCCTCAGTCTAACCACTTCTAGGAACTGCTGGCAGTCCCTATTTACTTAATCACAAATAATGATGCTTTGACTTCCCAGAGAGCATTTAAGATGTCAAGTATAATTAATTTTGCCATAAATTGACTAGAGTGACTGACGTTGCCAAGACCTAAAACTGGTCAAAAGTGTGCTATTTTGCCGTGCCTCAGTGAGAGGACAGGGTTTATTTTTTCATTTCACAAAGAAAGAGGCAAACAGCCACATAAATCGACCATCGTAAAACCGATTTACTGGCCGAATCCCCGGTATTTTCGAAAATGTAAGAGATAGCCATTGGAAATTTTTGCCAAACACACATTGGCCCTTTCACCACGTAGGTGCAACTAAACAAAAAATAAAGAATTCTTGTAAGTCAATTTGTCCAATGGCGTTAATTCGCTTCAAATCACTCATCTAATTTGCTAAATTCAAACACGGAAATAGCGACTGCTAATTCGGCCGTCTTCACATCTACACGAATTTAGCGTGAAGCAAAATAACACCTCACGCAATAATCAAGACACAATTTAGTCCCAAAGAGTTTTGCGAATTTTTCAAAAGATTGACAATTTTCTATTTCTCAGAAGACAATCGTAGACATCGACTGGTTTTAAGTATTGAACACATTTAAAGCTGGTGGTAAGCAGCCGGTCAAAGGAATCACCGTCTTCCAATAGGCAAAGGGTTTGACAAAGATCGCTTTGCACATCCGCCATCGTCCTTGACTGACACATTTTCGGTAGCTTTAAAGCACACAGTCCCAGGCTAATTTCCAACAAATTAATGGAGCCAAAAGATTGCAGCGCCTCTGCAAATGTGTGTGTGTGAGCTCCCACCAAACTACTTTGCCTGGAATTTTGTCGGGAAGCGGAAAGAGCAATAGCCACCCCACTGATCAGTCGTCTTAAATTCGTCCGCAAAAACAGCCGGTTTGCCAAAGATGCGGACAGACAGTAGGCATCAAACCCGATAAATTTTATTGAAGAAAGTCCCACGTAAAACTAGTCCCCTACTTACGTTACTCTGAATCAACACCTACAGCATGTGAACACGTGTGAAACGCCCTTGCCTTCCTACACTCAAGCGGGTTCCAAGGTCTTCGAGGTAAAGCTCACACATTTGGTAAGCTTCAGAAGCGTCCGCTAACCAACAGAAACAAATTTCCGCCCTTAGGCAAGTCTGCCGGCCTGCGCTTCGGCAATGAACGGAAGTCGGTGCGGATTTAGCGACTTGACGAGATCTAGGCACGCGGTTTCCGCCGGAAGGGATACAAAAGTGATGCTACTGCGTACAACGAAAACTCGCATTTAAATCGGCCCTCAAGATATGCAATTACTAGCAGCTGCATTGCCTTCACGTAGACCGATGCCGGAGTGCCTGCCAGAATAAGGGAGCTAGGATTCGGTAGAAAAAAAATTTCCTTGCGAAAAGCTTTCTTAAGAAAGTTCATTTGAAAGACAATGAAGAAACAATTTATTTACAGACAAACGCGCTACACTTTCTTTGAACCCGTGATAAGCCGGAGAGCGTCTTTTTCACGAAGAAGAGCAACGTCTCTGTTAATGGGTTTTATGACGTGACCAGCCTTGAGAATGACTTTGGGCTTGGTTAACTGCAAGTGGGCCGCCTCTGTCGTCCACTCGCGGCTGATTGGCTGAGCCATCGCTTCTTCGAATTGCTCCGGTCTTGCATACGGGAATGGAATTCTTTTGACCTACAATAAACCAGAGAGATACAGGGGTTAACAAAGACAGATTTGAATGCTCCGACGATAGGCAACGCACACCGCCTTCGCAATTAACTGGCGATTAAAATAGTCAAACATGGGAAGTTCATATTGAGAACTTAATTGAAAAAAAAATGAAAACTTTGAGTGGATTGTGCAAGCCCAATTGGTTTGAATGAAATCAGCTGATCGATTCTTTGTATACCAGCTGCTTGTAAAGTCAATCCAAGCAGCCTCTCAAAGATGAATTACTTCTATTTAGGTGGAAATCAGAGAGCTTGTTGTACTTCCGCAATTGGATTCTGCAGCAATAAAGTTGCCCATACACTACCAATCACGCATTACTCTAGAATATGACGTACTTGTGTCTTGTATCTTGGTGTACCATCTCAATAGTAAATTGGTCTGCCGCATGGATAGAAATGAAATAACTGTAGCATCACCTTGTGCAGAGGGAAGGAAAGAAGCAGGAATGTATACACTGAAATTAACTTTTGAAGATTCGTGTGTAAGATAATTTTCCAGTGAAATAGCTAGCATTTGAAAGAACAGTTGTTAGTAAAGGACAGACACTAGGCGCTTGACAGTTAAGGGTGTTTGGGATAAGACGACTGGGATTGGTAACGGAGGTGACTGACAAACAGTTAAAAAAGACATTACAGTAGAACGGGAAATCGAGTTCTTGAGGTACCATGCGGAGGTCATAAGAATTGACGTGTAAGTTCGTCAGACATGGTATGTTTCCTGCAGAGACGGATGCATACACTTTATGCTTGTAATCAACCCAAAAAAACTACTAAGGAAAGCATCGTGGACTTTAAAATACAGTGCTGTTCAGCTGGAGCAAGACAGTTTCTGAGTTTCAAAGCAGCGAGGCGTAGTGTTCGCTTTTCGTGGGGAAATGAATAGCGAGGACAAAATCAGGCATTCTGCAAAACCCACCCCAATCACCATGCAGACGAGGCTTCCACGCCCGAGAAACTCACCTGAAAAGACCCATCCCACTTCAAGTGACAGTTTTTTCCATACTTAAAACAGCATACTTTAATGCCCCGAAGTTAAAGCAACTTGCATTACTGGCCACTGATTTAGTGCGGAATCCATTTGTGCCACCATTTACTCCGATGGTTTTGTACCTTTTTTTCCAATACATACTGTTCAATCATTTTCAACAACGATGAGTCACCTTTTACGAGGACCATTGCAAGTCATTATGCTTGACACAACGCCTCACATTACCCCCTTGTTATGATAAATTCATCCACGGTGCCAGTGCAAAACCCAATTATGACACGGCACCGGCATCGCTATTGCCAAGTTTGGGTACATGCGAATGACAATGGTCTTGTTATCATGGCCAACACCATTCTGCATGACTACTACGACGATCAAAGCTGCAGACAGCTGAAGAAAAAAACTTGAAACAAGCAGACTAGAACCCGAAATTTCGTGTCATAGGACGCGGTAGCCCGCAATCGGATAGCAAAATCACACTTTATAAAGACGAACATGAGTTACTATCAGGAAGATAGATTAGCTTCACTCTACGACTTTGTTTTATTTCACCGAAATTCCATGTTTAGGCACAACCCGAATGAGGGGCCTTAAAGTGAGATTCAAAGACTACCGTTGTGTTCTTTTACTCTTTGCTTGACGCGACCCGCAGAACAAAGACAAACTTGCTTCTGACAGGAAAATTAAAATTTAGTCAAACTGCCACCGTTCTGAGTTGGATATTATCCAAAAGTAGTCAGATATGTCCCAATGCAACAATTAGAACGTTCACAGAGGTCGCACCGAGCCTCTTAGTGTGAAATCTGCGCGTTCAAGAGCTAGTAACAAGATGATTTAAATTTTTGATAAAATGAAAAAAATAAGAAGGGTGCAGTGACGTTAGACGTGAATGAAATTGACTAAAAGTGGCACGAGCTGCTACAAGTAATTTGGACAAACACAGACACAAACGAAGTCACAAAATAGACATATACTGGTAGGACGCATACGCGGTGTGAATGGGGACGTGTGAACAAGCACCAGAGGCCTGTGCTGGCAAACACATTTCACGCAGACCTCTCACAGAGGCTTGCGTTGGTGTTGGGGTGGTGTGTGTGTGAAATCGACGCGCGATAAGGGATCATTTTGGGTGCTAACATAGCCGCGTTTTAGCACTTTGTTTCATGTGCACGCACATCACATGACGCGCACAGCAGGCAAGCGAGGCTCGTGAATATTCATAAATGTACATTGTCAGCTAAATCTGGCTTACATGTGCGCTAGGCGCTCTGAATAGATAAATCAGTCAAACAAACCACCTGGGCTTAAGGCAAAATACGCACAGAAATATGTTAGAGGCACCAGACTGGTACCGACCTTTAGTTGGCCTCAGTGCGGTGCTTTAGTCAAAATTAATCACTTTTAGCGGCGTTCGGGTGCCAGCACTTTACGACGAAAGCGTGCCGCACTACAAGCCTGCACACACTTTCCTTTGAATTAGTCAATGTCTTAGTTAATTAGGGGGCGCCATTCAAATAGCGTCAATCGTTGTGTACACTTTCTTATCCACAAGTAGCCAGTCTTGAGGTTGCCCTAGTTGAAAATTAACCTCACTAACAAATCTGTTTCAACATGATCTGGCAAGTTCAAACCATTACGCAGACCTACATCCAGATCTGATTTACAATCGATAGGAATTTAAGCACCCTTGGGTGTACTAAGTGGCCTGTATTTCAGTAGGAATGCATTCGATAATGCAAAAACACCTATTAACAATAAAACAATTTACATTTCCCAAATTCGTGTGACTACATTCCGACAGCGTAAATACAGAGCCGTGCTAAAGCAAACCTGGTGCAGAATGCATTGCGCTAACACTTGCAACCTGCGTGTTTTCAATTCCAGCTAATGACTCATTGAGTTCGTCCATCAAACACTTTAATGGCTAAACAATGTGGACTAGTGGCCAGAGAATACTCTTAAGTACGTTAGTTATAAGTGGACACAAATGACCGAAATGACCATAAACCCAGTGTTCATTAAACAATAATATCTGCCTCTGGATACTTCACTGCATTGAAGTAAGCATATCACAGGTAATCTTAAAATTCTACAAAGATGAATAGCGACTTCCAACAGCATTGGTAAAAAAACATACATCTTTCATTGTACTGTAATGCACTCGCTTTGCCTTCATAAAAAAAGCTGTAGACACAACAACGCCCCTTGTGCCTCAAGACATTTGTCAAGGTGAATGTCAAATACCTACCGAGATCCTAATGTAATTTTTGTTGAACAGCGTTTAAAGGCTTAAATCACACATTTTCATGATTTTCTTCCACGCTCAAGCGCAAAAAATCCGAGAACCCAATAACGGTTAGCGCCTTACGACAATGAGCGTTCAAATTAATCACAGTAATTACACGGCACTAGGATGCAGTAGTAGTTTTTTGAAGTAACAAAATTTGAAGAATCGTCTCTAGTAAAACAGCTACGAATAAACTTAACCAAACAAAATGCAATTAAGTGGGTGACAGAAATTCGGTAAAAAAGACATCAATTCAACGTAGGAGTCAATATCACCTCTAGAGTGCAAGTGAGAGTGCTACCAACACGTTAACACGTAGACCGAATCAGCCGCTTCTTCGTGGCCCATTCTCAGATGTTGTCATTTAAAAGTTAGACTAACCAGTATTTTTAAATTGCTAATCCTCTGAAAGGTAATTAATGAAATCTCGGCCTAGTATCTAGTGTGTCACTAAGTGGAAGCCTCAGAGCTCCGATTGTGTGTAAAATACACGATTTCCAACCTCTCGCTGAAATTTGATAATGCGCGGACACAACGAAAAAAAGGTCCCAAATTGGCAAGTTGTTCATGTTCCTCTACAGTAGGATTGGTCAATGAGCAGGGTTGCCCACAGCGCAAAGTTGGACCTGGGATGCGAATGAAAGAAGCTGCAATTCAACGCAGATAAAAGTACATTTCTTGTTACACTTCAACGCACGACCGAAAGCTCATAGGTAGGAACGGGAGAACAATTTATTTGATGTTAACGCACGCACACAGAACGCTAAAAGTTGGTAAAGCAAAAAGAACGCTAAAGGGCGGAAATTTGTAATTAAGCCAAACCCAAACAGGCAGCTTGGACGAGGAGGGGGAGGAGGGAGGAACAATCTCAAACCTGAAGAGAAAGTCACTTTGTTTGGTCCAAATTCTTCCAATGGTAAGTAAAGCGACAACTGCTTTACCTAGCGCACAGACCCACAATGAGATAAATTTAACGAAGTGAATGCGATTACCCACAGGAGGGTTCAGATCAAAGCTGCCACAATCATGATTATGATGTGTCCACAAGGTGCTAGGTGATGGGTGCAAAACGGTGGCATTTATTGTGAAAAGACTCGAATATTGATTTATCTGAAAACTGGCAAACCCTCATTGAGGAAGACCTTGATAACGACTGGATCGATGCTGCAAAGCGAAGCTGCGAAATTAAGCAAATCACTTATGGATCCACCTCAATGAATTGGCAAAGTCTCCGTTAAAAATAAAGACTATTGGAACAGGACACAGGTTAGGGAATTTGCGAGGGCAGTTATTTAAGTGCACTTAAACAAATCCCCCAAAAACCAACCAAAAGACCTATAATCGGAGGAGGCAGGAATGCAAAGATCGGCGGACAACCACCACGCCACATGGATCAGCTGAAATACTCCTGGTGACCCGACGTCACCTAAATGACGGAATGCATCCAAGCATTTACTGACTTACCTTAACACCATGAAGCATAGAGTTGTGCTGAAACTTTCCCAGGACCATGGTTCCCTGTTTCCTTTTAAAAACCGCTTGAGCTAATTGGAAGTTAATCACCACAGTTTAGCGGTGCTCATGCATGTTCGATTTCGGACACTGGACTTCTAATGTATGCGCCTGGGGATTGTGATTAATGGTGCTAGATTAAACGTCCAGCTTATCATTGTAGAACAACAAAGCACCGAAGCTATAAAATGTTAAGTGTTTTGACTAAAATACTTTGGTGCCTGGCACAGCCTAGCGGCTGGCTTTTCATAAGAACGATATTAGCATTTTCTCTATATGTAAAAGGAAATTCTGCAATATTTCCAATGAAATAGAGCGCGATTTTTTTATTTTCCACCGGGCAGTTAAGAATGCCGAAACCTTATAAGTGAGGATAATGATGTCAGTTAACAAAGGTGGAAAAATTGGCCAGGTACATTACAGGTCACAGTAAGCATACATACATTTGTCTGCATTAACCTATGATGTATTTAAAACGGTCTCCTAACTTAATTGGTGCATCTCCTTAAACCATTCGGATTCAAGCATCTCCATTGCTAATCAAGGCCGTTTCGGAGGCAGTTCACACGAAAAATAAGCCTGCCGATGAAGCACCAGTGGATCTTGTAGCAGCTTTCAAATTGAGAGCAAATCAGCAAGCTTTACAACTTTAACATAGTTTTGTAAAACCAATTCGACAGTTAATAAGACGATTCGGCATCAATAATAACGAAGAACGAGATACACTTATACGCCTCTCAGTAACAAAGCGAAAACAAAATGTGCACATGTGCCGACTGTAAGAAAGATGCCTTTGGACACATTTGGCTTATACCAACGGGTGGGATTGGGCATCAGTGATGAAACGATAAAAGCCACTTCTAGTGGTTATTAAAAACAAAATGCGAAATCGCAGCACACACTTACCAGGTGTTTTTTGAGTTCTGTATTCACCCTTTCACGGATGATAACCTTGGTACGGCCTCTGTCTTTTCGCTTAACCCTTGGCGCTTTAATAAGATGCTTCTTGCGCAACTGCTCGTCAATAGCCTCGGTGCCGGGTCCAGACCACCGGTTCCAGCCGGGCAGAAAGGGGTCGAGGTCCTTCGGCGCCTCCTCATCCTCCACAGCCTTCTTCTCCTGCTCGAAACCCGCCATTGCGGGTTCCACACTTCCCACATCGCCTACTGCTTCCTGGAGAGCGGAGAAGTTCTCGTCCGAGGGATCGAAACCACCAATACCAGACTCCCCCGTCGCCTGTGTGTCTGAGACCTTTTGCAGGAGTTCATCAGAGGTTTGGGTAGACAAGAGCGTTGTGGTTGTAGGTGTTGCATTCTCAGGGCCACCAACACTATTGTCCTTGGCTGCTGTATTTGACTCACGGGGTTGGTTCTCAACCTTAGGAAGTAAATCAGCATAATTTTAACGTAATCCACAACGCTTACTTGTGAAGCAACATCAATATCTCTGAGTTATTTAGATTTTAAAGTGAAATGTAGTGACCAGGCACTATTTCATCCACACTGGAGTTATCAAAGAACTTGAATTCCTGGTGGAGGTAAACTATTTACAGACAAAACGGAGAAACGGCAAAGCAGCAGTGATTGTTTAGAAGGAGTTGGCATTCCGATCCCTATGATGATCAGACAAGCAAAAATAGGACACTTACAAGGTGGTAAACATTTGCACGACAGTTTGTTTTTGAATAGGCAGGAAGCAAGCTACCTGGGCGCAAGCTTTAGTGTCAAATGTGCAAATGAAGCGACCAGCCCACTAGAGCATGTGTTGCATCTAGCCAGACGAAAAGGCAAGCAGCACACTTCGTTTGACAGCTACACCTGCAGAGTGGAACAGCAACCATGCCGATAGCTGAAAAACTTCCTTAGCGGGTTGAAAGACAGGGAATCGCGTCACATGTCCCAGCCTCGTAGGGCGTGGAGATTAACGAAAGCCCGTTATCTGCTGACGCTTGTAGAGAATAGGCGCACAGGATAGCTTCCGTGCAGGGTACAAGTCTCATGCACCGTTGAAGATTAACGTTAATTTCGCGAAAACAGAGTGCACGTTAGTATTTGCATTAATGGACTTCCTAAATCGCGTTTTCTTGACATTTCCTATTCTACACCCACCTCAGCTACTTACGAGGGGGAGAAGATAGACTTGGTTTCTAAGTGCTGGGTTCACAGTAGTAGTAGTAGTAGTACTAGTAATTGCAAAAAATCAGACCTCTCGAGGGCGCTCTACATTTGCGTACGATTGTATGGTAAAAACGAAGTGTGATGATGGCCCAAATTTAATAAACGACACAACGATTTTAGAAATATCAGAGCATATAGCCTCATTCAAAATAAGGACACATCAATGCCGCGGGTTAACACAGGGCCATTCAAAACAGACTGTATTAAGAGCACTTTTTAGTGTCTAGGTGGCTTGACAGTTTTTTAATCTTTAAACAACTATTTACTGGAAAAACTGTTAATAACAAGAAAAGTCGTGGGTGCGTTAAATATGGAACTCAGATCATTGTTGCTTTTGGCATCCACGTACGTACATAGTTCAGTGTGCTTTCGAGGTCCAAAGGTTAAAACAATTAGTCATTTTCAAACGCCCTTTTCAATAGTTGATTCGCAGGTTTTTAATAACGCAGTCGGCCATGCAATGGCGCACCTGACTCTTAAAATGCAAAATAATACGAACACTTAGCCGCATCTAAGGAAGACAGGCTGCGAGCTCCCCAGAACTGACCTTTGGACATTGCCAGGGAACATGAACCGATGTGTTCGTCTTTTTAAAATACCTGCAATTAGGTTTTTGTGAATTTGACCCGACAATGGGTTGATTTCGAGAGGGTGGAACCATTTGGACCGCTCTTGTGTGCCCAAATTTAGCAAAAGGCGCCACGCCGTAGGCAGCCTTCTCAGGCATTTAACGGTGTGCTAATCTGATATTTCGAAAAATTGTGACGTAAAAAGTCGTGGCTTTCTTTTAACCACTATTAACACCTAACGTAGTTAAAAAGGTAATATTATTTAATCAAGACATTTAGCAAAACTACTAGTCCAGAGCTTCAAAGTGTTGTTGCTACTTACACTTTATAAGTAGATAGCAACAAACAGGAACAAAAGGACCAAGGTACTATAAAAAGTACTGGGGATGTCAGCTTGAGATAGTAATGAACATAAGCAAACTAGCATCTTTTACAATAGTTAATGCAACCATTCCGAATTAAAGATGACTATAAAAGAGTGGAGATCCGATCGCATACTTAGAAAACAATTCAATGACACAAGGGTTTATGGTAACCTAAGTCGTCTCGATTGGCTTGTCATAAAATGCATAAAGTGGCTTTAGAGTTCAAAACAAGTACAAATTTGTAGAAACCAGACATACCTTTGCCCACCAATCTGATAAACGAGGAAGAGATTCTTCCTCCACTCGCTCATCCATCTCCACATCGTCAGCATTTGATTCAGCATCATCATCCTCACTTTCCGAAGAACTGAGGTCAACTTCAGACAACGCAGACTCACTGTCAGTATCACAATTTTGGCGACGCTTTGTCAAATGGTGAGCTTGATCGTGCATTTGTGCGACTGCATCTCTTGATTCTTTATCATACTTTGCTCGCAATCGCTGCATCTTAGCAAATTTTCCACCAGTTTTATGACGCAAACTAGCGCGCTCCTTGGCGCGGACCCGTTCAGCCTCTAGAAGACGTTCTGCAAATGCCTGGGGGTTGTTCTGACGCAACAGTGCAATATCCTTCTCGAACTCTTTCATATTGCGCCGTTTGGCTCGCCGGTGGTAACTTTTGCTTTTAATACGTTTTTGTAACTTAGCTTTTCGAAGCAAAGCAACCTCACGTAGCCGATGCTTCATTTGATCTGCCACCTTCATGGACATTTTGCGAACAAGCTTTATTTGTTCGTCCCGTTCCTTGTCGAAATTTGACTCCCTAATAAGAAAATACAATAGCATTTACATCAGTTGGTTCACACCTTCGACATGTGGTAACACATGTAATACATGGAAAACCACAAGAAAGATTGCTAGTCCACAAGAATGTAAAACGACTACAAATCGAATCCGAGAATATTGCATCTCCAGATGCTGTCTACATGATGTTTGAAAGCACCATTACGTGAACATGAATTTACAAACTGCAAATAAATACAATCTGTAGACAAAATGCACTGAACACAAAGACGTTGCAGTGAGATCGAATAACTGCCGTACAAATGTCTAAATGTAGGTAAACAAGGCTACACACTCAACTTTTGGATTTGTACATAACATGTAGACAAATATTCTTCTTGCATTATCCTCGTCAGTAATATAAGCAATTTCATATAAATTCGCGTTTGTATCAAGAACGTGCAAGAGGCAGCTAAGAAACCCACTGAAGCAATACACACACAAAGTTGCTGCAGATACATATTCACATACATCGGGGTTGCATTCTGATACAGTGCGTTGAAGAGCCTCCCCTCCAAATTTTTACAATCTGCTTTGATGGCATTAAGCGATTTTTCGTGTTTGGCTTGTTTAGCTTCATCTGAGTTTGAAAACTGGATCGCGTTGCTGTTAAGCGGAAAGATAAGTTGATCAGCTAGGCGATTGTTATGAACTGGTCCCTTCCATAAACCAAGCTTTTCCCGGTCCAAATTAAACTGTACTCTGCGACTTTTCTTCGCATCACGCAAGTCGTCAGGTGGGTCGATTGGGGAAGCTTCTTGATGAAGACGTTTTAGGGACTTTGCCTGCTTTCCCTTACTACCGGTCTTCAGGTTCAATAAGCCCCAGGCACTTGCATCTGGTAAGGCTGGGAAGTTAGACTACAAAAAAAAACAGTTTGATAAGTTAAAAAGGGAAAAGCAAACAACCAACCATGCTTTCAAATATAATTGGTCAGTGCGGCATTATGACAGTGCATTAAAATAAACTGAAACCAAATTACCTTTAGCAAGTTTGTAAAAATTTCAAGTTAGGATCTAAGTGTAGTATTATTTAGCTTTATTTGTTGTTCTGATAAGAGCAGAATAATAGAGATCATGTAAAAAGAGAAAATATGCATTATTTTAGGACTAAAAAGAAACACGATTTTCGCAAATACCAGGTATAAGCTATTTGATTATGACCACCTTTGAAATATAAGGTAGCATTGTACCGTTCCCTAAAATAAAAAAAAATTTTGAAAATAAAATTAACCCAACTTCTATTTTGCAAAATTTGGTTCATTTACGTAATAGAAGCAACGCAAGCACATGTCTGCCAATGTTAGGCGCTAGTCAATGATGACAAAGGTTTAATATACAGTTCACAACATCTTATAACCTGCAATTTACTTTTTTTAAAGACCTTTATCATATTCTTACCAAAGGACTCTTACGTGTAATTTGATGTAACATTTTACTTTATTTTTAACCTCTAAGGTAAATATTTTTCAAATTTTATTTACATTATTGTTCTTTTGGCCACCTTTCAGATTTTTTAAGTTGTTTGACTACGTAAAATTGCAATTATAGTGCGCACAATTCGGTAACGTCGCGAAAACGCAATGCCATTAACCTTTAATTTTGTCATCTCTTTATGAAATAAATCTGCAAAACAGTAACATGTCGTAAACGCAATTCTGAGAAGTTTATAAATAATCATGGATCTTGATTGCGTTTTGGCTTATGTTTTCGCTCTTTACTTTTTATTGTATATTTTCAATCGTGTGAACTTGATCCGCTAACTGTTTTGACACTTATGTTGCTTATACTGGTGATTTAATTTGCCTATGTTAAGAAATCTAAAATTACTAATAAACCTTCAGGAAATCATTTAAGTACATGTTGAAACTCCTGTTTCACCTTTTCATCTAAGAAATATATCGTATTACCTATTTGCTACCCTCTAATTGCTACGTCGACCTTTTGACGTATTTCTAATCACACATGAAAAATGTTTGACTATAATGCTAATTCTTGAATGTTATATTTTTTGTGCCTAGAAATCAGCTTATCCAGAGCATGTTTTATGTCAGTAATTGAATTTTACTTTGTCTATGAATTGCGCACTCATTTATTGTTTTTCTATACAGTAACACATTGTCGTGTCATTTACACACAATAAATAACACATTTTCATTGGGAGACCATTAAAGTAGCTTCCTTAAGCCCACACGTGATGATGTTGTGATAATATGCATAACCTCTATCATTTACTGGAGTAAACCCGAGAAACGCGCAGCTATATACCGTATTAATACTTTTTAATACAGACTAATTTATAGTTATTCGTAGATTTGTATCATATTTGTACTTAGCTTTTCTTGCTATGGTTTGTTATTTCAATAATTACGGCTTTAAAGCGGGTCATCACCGAAGCCCGTCTTATCAAGTTTACTTCAAGTCAAGTGTTAATTTTGACCAGCCTCCAAATTCATCAACTTTTGTTTTTTTGTACCTTATAAATACTCTTACGCGCTCGCGCAACGATAAATAATGCCTAATTTTTCAAAAGGTTTTCTTCAATGCGTCATCTCTCCTTCTCATTCCCATCTATTTTCATGGGTTCTGCAGTTATCAACAGGGAACAGGCCTGTGATGTAACTCTCTACTAGTACTGCCTTTTAATAGACTACTGAAGCTTAAAATCTAGTTTCATTATGAACCACTTGATTTATGACCGTGCAAGATCTAATAAATATGTAACCTTTGAATTGTAAAAGTCAAATTCAGATTTTACTTGAGGCAAATCCCCAGATTTATAGCCTAATTTTTGTCTGCTTTCATTCTCTTGGCTTCACATTCCTTGCGTAATTTTTACTTAAAAGTAAATGTGATTATGCTGTATTTTTTGGAACATTTTAATTCAGTTCTTTGAGGTAGCTTGGTGAAGCCATATCACTGCTGAAATTTTTGAGATGTCACCGTGGTAACCCTTGATTCTCTCAAATAAGAAACATGGAAAATAGTTGTCGGACTTACAAATGCCAAGTCGCTTTGTATCTAAATTATTCGCTATGATTAATAACGATTCCATACAGAAATTGGTCATGTAACCCATATTCACAGTTTGTTTTTTAGGTTGATTGTCTTATTTATAATTGTTTTGATTGTTAGAACTCCCTTTCTCCTACACCCTGTGCATTCAGTTGCTTTGCATATACCAGAGCTAGCTATGGGAAATATCAACTTACAACCACGGCACTTTTCAAAAATGGTAATCTGAATTTCTATGCCCTTCAGTTTTTCGCGAATCCATTCAGTTCAATACATTTCTGTTTTATTTACCTTAGTTTTTTTATTGATTTTCTAAATTTTACTAAATGGACATAAAAAAGTGCTGGCTTAATGTTCTTCAATGAAAAGAAAACAGGTAATTCTAACAATTCTACTATCTAAAAAATAAGAATCTAAATTTTATTTTTTTCCGATGCAGATGGTCTAAAGGGTTCTAGAAAGGTGGAAATTATAGATTTGTTTCCAAATGTGACCTTTTTACAAAATCACCATATTTTCAAATGTAGGTTTACAATGACTGAGAATGAATCAAAAGACTGCCTTTTCGTCAAGTACAACATGCCTGTTCCAACGTCGAAACAGGCCCCTAAACCGGTAAGATTTTAGGCAAAGAATGTCTACTTGTATTTTGAAGGAAGAATTCCATTCTGGTACCTTAGAACAACTTTGGGTTCCAAGCTCACCAAAGTCTTGATTGCTGTTGCCATGGGGTTTACTACTTGCAGGACAATCATTATTCCAGAGAGTCGTTAGGGCTGGTCAAAGTTCTCTAACGGCTTGTACCACCAAGCTACTGAAATTTAAATGAAAAACATTCGTACCTTTTTACGACCATCTGTATTTGTCATTATAGCCTCGAACCATATGTGGTCCAAATCCCAACCCTCCTGAAGATTTGGAGACTTCAGGAGAGAATAAGTTGGAGGCACGTCCAGATATTTGCAAGGCCATGTCTCCTTCACATTCTCCAACCGACCAAAAAACTCTGAAGATGCTGGAGGAAGAATTTCCACCTCGAGTGGAAAAGGTTGGGAAAGATACCTACATTTCAACAGTGAAAGAGGTGCAGGCCTCAAAAATGGAAATAACTGGGCTTATCGATGACATTCGCATGAATCTTCTTCAGCGTGCTGCCTGTCGACGGCCCTTGTGCCATATTCGTGAAGACGTCTTATATTGTACTGTCAGAGAGCTTCTTAGACAGGTAAACTATTTAAAGTTCTTTGTTTAGTTTGTGAGCCTTCAGCCAAGAATCAGAGGAAGTTAAAGGTATCAAGAATCCCTGTTTTAGTTGCATTTCTGTAGTACTACTAGATCGTTATAGTTTCGTGACACCAGCAATTTGCAGGTTAAGACATTCTAGAACTCTCGACTTAACATGACGTGCATAAGAAGACACGGGATGTTGTATGCTTAGTTCCAAATACCAGACGTCGTGGCGGAACTGTGCTCAGGCTTCATACAAACATTAGCCTCGGGCCATTGAGCAGCGAATTCCTGTGACCCAAGTTGTTCTATTTTTAGCAGCTCGGTAAAACGAGCTCTAAAACGACGTTTTTCTATTAGGCTAAATTTAACTAAATAAAACAGCAAGAAATTGGTTTCATTTTAACAAGGCAGCTTATAAGATCATTTTTAATTGCCTACGGATACGCACTTGAAAATCTACAAGTGCTAATAAACCTGCAGGGGGTCATTTAGTATCCCTTTAAGCTGATAGCAAACAGCAGCCAGGCTGGTTAATTAGAGTGTATTTTGAACACCGGACCTAGTTTAACCCATCAATTTTTATTATTTTTAAGTGAAATAAGCTAATAAAACTCTTTTGGATTCTTCATTTAGCTAATTATTGAGTGCCCCGAGAGAGGACTTCTGTTTAAGCAGGTTGTGGATGAACACTACAAATACTTCCATGCCTACGAGGTCCTGCTCAGGTTTAATGATGCCTTCATGTGTCGAAGGAGCCTTCAAACAATGCATGAGCAGAATGCTCAAAAAATGAGGGTATGTTTATGTGATGTTGCGTTAGTTCCGTACTCTTGACATGCTAATAAAAGTTCATTATCGATAAACAGAACTTCCCTTAAACACGATGGTAAAGGTTAAAATGTGGTCTGAATGCATGCCTAAATCTACGTACAATGTACCTTATACGAATGAGCTGAGATGTCCTTGCTGTCACTTTCAGTAATTATATCCATTGTATTCTGAGCATTTTCTCATGCCGCATAATAAAAACAAATAGGAATGTAAGGAGAGATTGCCGACATAAGCATAGAAGTGTATGTGAAGAAACAAGTTTACGTCCATCCAAATCAAGAAAATCTTAAGAGACCTACCAAATGCGACTTCTCTTATCCAGATTCGAGATCTAGAAGAAAAAATTGACAGCCTGAATCATCAAGTGAAAGTACTAAAAGAAACAGCAGAGCGACTGGAAAAGAAGAACCAGGAGGCGAAAGTGAAGGGTGACATTCAAAGACAGCGTGAACTTCGCTATCACACCATTCTGGGTGAACAGCTGAAGGTTGGCATTCTTGAATCTATTTTTGATTAACTCTTTTAACTTCTCCAATGTCATAATTATATTGCATTGCATTAACAGAGGGAATCGTCAAAATAGTCCATGTACCTCAGCTCCATGTGCATAGGTTGACCCTACGAAAAAACATAATGCTATATACCGATATATTTATCCTTGCATTAAATGGAATGTATTAAGTGTCTGATGTTCGTGATTTAACTTATGCACACAAATCTTAGTCAAATGCCTAGTTCATTCAAACAATGAAAATTGTGCATAATTTGGCTGTGTACTTAACAACATTTCCAACAAGTTATAAAATCTTCACCGCCTTCAGGAATTGCTTAGGAATAGAATTAGACGACTTAAAATTTAATGAGTAACGCTTTCAATTCCTGTTTATTTATATTTTAGAATCAGTGTGAGACATTCGTCACACCATCAAAGGAAGAGTAGGATTTTATCCGGGTTACCTTTTGCAGCAGCAGCTGCAGCAGCATATGCTTGAGAGGTGTAGGTTGCTACGACAAGAATGTAATTTAAATATATTTGAGAAACATTTGAATGTAAAGTAATTGTTTGGGGTTAACAAATTGAGCCAACGCCAACAGCACAGTACTATTAGTATTACTGTTGATGGTGGTGTGGTCGCGGATGATGCTCTGAATGCTTTGAAATAAAATGTTTCAGAACTACATAGTGTTGGTTTTGAATCAATAGGATATTAAATAAATGTACACGGCATAGTTCGAAATTTATTCATGAATATAAAACTGCCCTAGTGTCTCAATTTCTACCGAAGAGGTATTAATTTAATATCTTATTTAACGGGTCAATGCCAAGTGTTAAATCTAGGTTTCTTGAGTGTCAGTTTGTGCAAGTCAATTGTAGGTAAAATTAAAGTTACTTGCTAAACTGGAGCCGTGTCAAATGTCGAGTAAAATCACAAGGCGAGTAGTTTAAACACAGTATAAGCAAATATTAATTTAAGTCACTGCCGCAAATCCCTTGTAGCTAAAATAATTGAAACATTGGGAAACCTTGTCAAAACATATATGCAAATTTTCCAAGCTGAGATGTGAGGAAATAGCCTGGTTTTGTAGTTAGAATGAAAAGTTGGATTTGTTTTAGTAAAGTCCTTATGCTGCTAAAAACTCTTGATAGACCCTATTCGGTTAAGTCCAGTGGAACGAACAGCACGTTTGTCAATGTATAGCTGATAGATATCTGTGATAGTTTCATTAAAGTACAGCAGTTTATTATCGTGTACACAGGGCTCCGGGTTCCACAATCAATCAAAATCTGTGAATACTGCATGGAATAAATTGTCGAGGATGGTATTTCACAACCACCCTATATTTTTAAAGTCGCTGCAGCCATTCTGAAATAGGTAATCACTGTGCTGGGAAATGCAACTTTCGCATTTAAGCACTGCGAAATGTTATTGTCACCAGAGACATGACCTCCCATTTTGGAAGAAGGAGTAAGTCGATGTGTTTATCTTTCTGGGAAACTAGACTATTAAAAACAAAATTACCATTTTTGATGATGTCTTGACAGGAAATAGGCAACCCTAGGTCGAAAACCGGGGAAGGTTTTAAATGCAAACATATATCAGAACTATTACGGTTTTTTCTTAATTAGTCTAAGTAAAACCGCATAAACCAAATCTCGATTTGAAAATGCAACGAAGCATCCATGCATATAATGTTAACTAAAAGGCGTTTAATTTCAGTTATGTTATGTTATAATTCATTCCGTTCGTGACGAACACTTGTAGTGGTTAGCTTGCACTACTTTAAAATGTCGCCAGTTAACGGGCCGTAACAGCCCAAAAGCATGGAGAGGAGAGGCGACATCAGATATAAACACCCGCCGTGAACAGGTCAGCCGAGTGCGTCTTCGAGTGTGGATGCGTGAACGTGCCCACTGGGGGCTTGTGAACATCGATCGATGGAAAGTAATGATGAGCCACAGGAACTAATCAACCCGCGCTGAACCCGTTCTCAAAAGAGTCCAAGCATGTGCGTCCGCTGACGGTCTACCACACACTCGTTGTCTACGCTTCATGACAACAGTAATATGCCGAATTGGTGATTTGGCAATGCGTTTAGGTTAAGGTTTTGTCTTGCTGGACAGGAAGGCATGTCCCTAATTAATTACATTCCAAAATTTTCAAGAAGTCTGCGTAAATTTCTTTGCTTGTGTTTAGTAAGAAACCTTAGACGAGCACCCTCGAGCATGTTAGGGATTTTGCTCCTGTTAATCTCTTCAGATTTTTTTATCAAGGCTTTGCTTTAAAGGTTTACTGACTGCGGAAATCGACAGACAGCCTTGGTCCTTACAATACACTGCTCAAATTTAATTCCGTCATAATGAACATCCAAGCCGGTGTTCAAGATTGGCACTTTTGCGTTCCATTACAATTCAGTTGAAAAGTATGACTAACTCATATTGCTCGCTAACACCAAGTCTGGGTAGTTTAAAGGGCATTTATAGAAAGGGAATGGTTACAGTGCTTTAAACTACTTATCAGGATACATTGGTGCCACAACGTTTCCCGAACGCCGATCCGCGTATTACGTGTTTTCTCATTTTTGACATTATTGCTTTAAAGACAATTGCTATCTGTACAACAATCCAGTTTTATGGTCTCTATTTGTCGGAATTTAAGTGTAAATTACCTGAACGTGTAAACTTTAGGATAAGTATCTGGAAAATTTAGGCTTATCAAACAGCGGAGTAAACGTCAAACACTTGATACGTAATTACTTCGCCAAAACTTTATGCAGCATCCTCTTTTAATTATTCTTAAATTGGGACCACTTCGGTTCTGGTTAAAGAGATCTATTAAAACTAAAAACACACAAAAACTGTTTCCTTTTGTTCGGATCAACAGTAAATCTGTATTCTCATTAGACCAAACATATTGTTGAGAATCAATGAGAATTACTTAAATTACTTGCAAATGCCATTATCTGGCCACTAAATGAATTTCAGGCAACGTCGGTACCCCAAATTTGTTGTGGCATAAGATGACTCACGAAACCCTTACGATATAGAGCGAGATAAAAGGCATCAATTTTTATTTTCTTATCAGAAAGATTTTCTACATGCTCTTGCATAGATAAGTTTATGCATAATCATTAAAATAGACATTAAACCCAAAAACGTATCCCCGAAAGTATTAGTAATTGAGGCGTTAAGCTGGGATGAAACAAAATTACTTTTGTAATTACGATAACCGCTGGGAAACATCCGCGGGTCAGTACATCACGTGTCAGAGCAGACCGTATACACTATTTCCGTTCCACAGAAAAGGCAGGATTTTTTGAAACCGATGTTCCAGTGAACTAAGATTTCTTGTGGGTTTTCTGAAAACATCGGATATGTTCCTTACGAGAAACTACCCAATTTATTCACTACCGAGGTCGACATGAATATGGCTTCGATAAACACCATCGTTATGCTTACTAAACGTGCATTGTGAAAAGACTTTGTCAATAGATCTCATGGTCAAGTGCGAAACAAACTTGCGTCAAGTCAGGAAACCAAACATAACGCCTTTGAGGAAGAATAGTCTACGATTCCAGTAATATCGACCTGAAATCATCAGTTCTTAATTGTACAGTCATCATTAAACTCGGCGTTCATGTTAGTAGTAAACGGTGTTCCTGTTGAGGAAGTTCGCACTTCCTTAAATGTAGTATATTAAAATCCTGCAGCTTGATTAAAATTTATTGTGCTGAAGCCCTTGCTTGTTGTATCCGTGAATGCGGTTCATGATGTCACCTGGTAGCACACTTTAATCAGTCACCGCTTCACCATTGAAATATCTCGTTTTTTGTCTTTTATTATACATTTTTTTAGGAAATGGTTGTGTCAGTGCCATATCAAAGTGCGTTTTCAAAGAAAACGTTACGAAGAAAATCACGAAAAATGTATTTGATGATTATTAATAAATATGCTGTCATCATAACTGCACTTCATCGTAATGTGTTTATTAGTTAATAGCACTAAGTTACATTTTAGTGCAAAAATCTCATACAAGTTGCAAATCCAAAACGCTTAAATCGCGCAAATATTCGGTTTAAAATAAAGTTAAATGGAAGCCAATCTTGACTTCTTAAACTCTTCTACACTTGATTGTGCAGCGAGCAATAACGCTAAACTCCTGCCGCTTACGTTTCATCTACGTTTCCCGTGTTATAATTTTGCTTTTTAGACAAATTATTGTGTTCTCTGTGTTACACGTAATTATTTCACAATGCAGTGACCAATCGGAACGTTAGTCGTTTGGCATTGGCCGGAAGTGGAGATTTAAGTCGTTTGATTTACTTAACTGAACTGCTGAAAACTTGAGAATGCTGACACCGCTACTTATTCTTGGTTCCTGCCTTTTCATCTTCTGCCAGACCGCCGTGCATGGCTTGCCCCAACGAGGAGCCACTTATGGGGATGGCCTGGAGGGCTGGAGCGCTGAGGGGGACGTCCGCGGGTTCTCGAGGCACGCCCGCATTCCCACCGACTTCTCCTTCAACAGCGACCTCGCGTTGCTGAGGAAGATGATTAGCGAAAGCCGGCTCAATGGCCACAAGCTTCTGGCTTTCGGAAAGTAAGGGCTTATGCAAACACAACTATGCGACAAATTCTTATATTCCAAAACTTCCCATGGTTTATTCTTTATCTTTGAATGAAAGCTACTTCATTTGCTAGTGATTTCTTTTGATCCCAATATCGACCGTTAAAAGGTTAAGCATATTGTTTAAAGTATAACAATGCGACAGCAATAGTAAAAGTACTGGAAGTCAAGGTAGATTATGCGCAATGTGTTCAGATTACGAAAGCTTGAACACAAAGAGTATAAATGGTATACTTACACCACTACACTTAGATTCTTTTAATAGGCCTTTATTGTTTATCCAGACTAACGCCTTGTAGTTTTCCCCAATGGATATGACAGATATCCAAAGAGAGAATATGTAAAATGATTACGAAATTCCATTAAAGCCAATAGGTGGAAAGGAATTAACTAGTCGTCAATTAATACACGACACATACGCAAAGTAAACACAGGTGCTCTGTAGTTTAAAGGACTTGCTTGATAGAATGTGGAATCACGGTGTAATATTTAATGAATACTAAAATCATTTTTATGTAGAATAGCTTGGCTGACATCTAGTAACGTTTTTAGTTTTAAGCTCGGACGGACTGATAAAAGCGAATTGTTAAATGACCAGCCATACACTTCCCCAGCAATCATGTGATGTAGCCGTTTAATCGGAGAAGTGCAGATCATTACGAGCTCTCTGCTTCAGCCAAAACAAAAACATCGGGTAGATTCGGATTCATCAAAATCGCTGTACACAACATTTTTGTCCGATGGGCAAATTCATGACAAATAGAAAAAATTACACAACAAACCATCCGCACACCCACGAACTCCAATAAATAGGTAAAGTCAAGCGGTACCGGTCAACCAGCTCAATCCATCGACGAAACAGCCCCTGCTTCGACGCCATATCCATACGACTAGTTGGTACAGTCTGGTTAGACATAAGTGATTCCAACCGAATATCAGCAAGCGTCCTACTTCCCCATCCCCACCAATACTGCTAAGCCGTTCTTTGCTTTCCCAGTCTTTTCAATATTCTAGTTAGTGTTCGAATATAGACTAGCAGTAAACAAATGTCTTCTGCAAGAGTGTGGCCAAATCTGCTGTTGGTGCCTTCTTCCCGCTCTACTTGGTTAGCAAGAAAATTCGCGGAATAAAGCATTGTGCACACAAAAAATCCCAGACTTGAATAATGTGACTTGTTTTAATGCTGGCAAACTGATGGTGGCGGTGCCCTGTGAACAAAATATCCTCGGGTGGCTGTGAATTTTTCGCAGGCTTAAACAATTGAATAATTCATGAACAGGTCCTTCGCTTTACTGCCGGTGCTGAATACCCGTTCTAAAAACACTATAAACGTGAATTCGGCTCTCTGCGATGCTAACACGAACGCCCACTTCGCACATGCTCGGAGTCTACGGTCAACCCCACTGGCAGCATTTATGCGTCCCGAATCTGTGGCAGCGACAAGCAAACTCCTTCGGGGAGAGGGTGTCCCCTCGACTTGGCTGCGAAGTGAATGACAAACTGCACAGGACGAATTTGTTCCCTGAGGGCACAACACAGGAATAACTTAGTAGGACTAGCCACGATGAACTCGGCTCTAACACAGCCGCTTCTACTTCACGAATTCCTTATTGTTTTGTTCCGAGTGGTAAATACTCCCTTCTCAACAACACCAAGCAATCCTGTTGATGTTGGTCCGACAAGAAACGTGAAAATATATCATAAACAACGTGAAAGAACATCGTAGTGTTCTACACAAAGGGCATTTTATCACCTAAGATAGCAGTCACGAGACGATTTGGTCACAAAGACCACATTCCTACCAAATTATCGGCCTACCTTGGAATAGCAACACCTCCAGATTAACTTCATTTCAATTATGGTGACCCCAACACAGATTTGTGGAACACCAACAGCAAGCACAAGTGTCGGTCGTATCGTTTACGGTTTCCAGCTTACTTGATGAGTACGATCACAAGATGACGATTTGCCCTTTCAAATGTAGTATTCAGTGCTAGCGCATCTTTTGCTGGTGGGTACAAATTGCCCCCTTTCTACACGATTGTCGCAGAGTCCCTTCATTTAGATGAGACGACAATAAATGTTGATCACATCCCTAAGGCTACACAAACCCTAATATTTCCACAGTTTTGCATTCGTTTCATGTCGTCATCATTGACACGACCAATGTTCTGGCTTTTGCCTTATTGGTTGAAATTTGTCGGCCTCTGTCTATTAACCGCAGAAATTGTTGAAATTGGAATTGGGATCCACTACAAAGCCTATAGCACCACAACAATTTGTTAGACCCACCCATGCGATGCACTATCCTCGGAATTGGCAAATGCGTTGTGTGCATCAGAAAAGGACCAAAAGATACGACCTAACATGGACTGCACTGCTGCCTCACACCAACCTGCTGAAGTGCGTGGTCCTCATTTAAAATCCCCCAACAGTGCAAACACTTGCTTTCCGTATATATTGCACACTGGTTGAATCACCATGAAGGACACTTTAAAACAGCAAAAAATGTGTAATTGCACAGTCCACGACACAACCTGATTGGTGCCTTCTACGAAATCCACACAAATTATGGGGAACAACAAAGAACCATTAGCGACACAAGAACCATTCACTTACCTACTGACCAAATGCACCAAGTCTTATGCGTAAGATGTTGTGCAGCTGT